TTATAATGTGTATATCTACTGTATTTAGAAAATAAAATAAAATAAACAATAGTTTGTAATTTAATATAGTGGCTACTTTGTAATATGTAATTAGTATTTGTTATTTTTATATAAATAATATTTGACAAATCTAATTATATAAATTTGAAATAGATAAACCTAATCCTTACTTAAAACTAGTTTATAATTTTAACCATACTAACCAGTGATGTAAATTGGATTTGCACAGTAGGCAAAGCATACATAGATTTAAATTTGCACGTATAATAGCACTCTTTATATATAGCGTGCGTATAAATTTTTTTTTTTGTGCACATTTTTTTGTATTTGCGCTAATAAAAATTTTTTGAATTTATAATACTAATGCTAACTATATCCTAAATTTAAAATTATATATATTGTAATAAAGACATGTTCAAAGTATGATGTTTGGCATGTGATTCCGACAAGCAAAATTAAGAATATTAATGATTACATTAGAGAATTTTAGCAATCAGATCCTTTAAATATAACTTATATTTCTCGATTAGTGCTCAAATTAATGCGTATCCTAATGTAGCATAATTTATTGTGATAAATGATATGAGTAATACCTTTGAAGCTGTGGGTTTTACCGAAGAACAAAGATAACTAAATAATAATACTAAAATAATAGATAAATAATAAAAAATAAAATAATATTAAAAAGAAAAAAAAATAAATAAAATTTTTGTAGGTGTCGTGCGGAGTATCAAACTTTGATGGTGCAATTAGATATCTTTAACTGAGATATTTCGAAATTTCAATATCTTGTTCAGTGGGAGCGAGCTCATGTCTTGATAAGTCAGAGAGTAGCATTAAACTGTAGAATAGAGTGTTTAAAGGCATTTTGTCAGTTTAAAGAATATAGCCTTGAGTAATACTTTGTAATTCTGTATCTATTTTCCTTTTTAGTAAAGTTAAATATTCTATATGTTTAAAAATAAAATTGAAAATTTCCTGAGTTTTTCTGTCTCCTTTAAGAATTTTCTCTGAAAATTCTAATTTTCTATTACAATAGTGGGTTGCCAATTTGGTTTTTCATAGTATTTGGCAAGTCAGTCGCTATTGTAGTACTTCTTTAAAGTTTAACTTTGTAGTACGCAGAGTTTATAGGCACTATTGTTCAATTTGTCTTTAATAATGAAAGGTCCTATTCGTTTATCTTCAAACTTTGCAGAGTGGGAGGCTTCAATATCTTTTTGTTATACCCATACTTTATCACCTATCTTGTATTCTTCTGGTCTTATTTTAGAATCAAATCGTGCTTTCTGTTTCTTTTAGGATTTTTCAGTGTTTCTTCGAGCTTCTTCATATTGGTAGGATAATTCATCTATTAGTTCGAAGGCTCTTTGTAATATACTATCTTCTAATGCCATCTCTTCATCCGATATATCAGGTTTTATCGGGAGAACAGTTTCGATAAGTAGGATAACTTGACATCTATATACCAACTGGAAAGGAGTATATCCCGTAGTTGCATGTCATTTGGTTCTGTATGCAAATAATACAGCAGATATATGTATATCTCAGTCTTTATTAGTTTTCTTTACTTTTGCAAGAGAGTTGCAAAGTGTTCGATTCAATCATTCAACCATTCCGTTAGTTTGGGGGTGATAGGATGAAGAGAATATGTGCTTAATCAAGAACTTTTCACACAATATTCTAACAACTTCACTAATGAAATTCTTTGCATTATCCGAAAGAATTATTTTAAGTACTCTATATTGACATACAATTTCTTCGAAGATAAATCTAGCAAGTGTTTCTGCACTAGCGTCTGGTACGGCCTTAGCTTCTGGCCAGCGAGTAAGGTAGTCAGTAGCAACAATAATATAACAGTTGCCTTGCGTAGTAATAGAGAGAGGTTCTACTAGGTCTATTCCAATTCATTCAAAGGCTCTTCCTACTTGTTTAGGATGGAGAGGTTCTTTTCATCTACCTTTTTTACGCTTCTGGCAGGCTTCACATGATTGTACATAATGTCAGATATCTCAGTACATTTGGTTCCAACAATATCGTTCAGATATTTTATAGTATATAGCATCAGCTCCTAAATGTCCGGCAGTAGGATGACTATGCATCATGTAGAGGATAGGTTCAACTTCGGTCTACTTAATCACTCATATAGGTTTGGTAGAATCTTTTCGGTTCTTCTTGTAGAGAAATTTAATTTTGAGTTCATAATATCTAGATTGTTTAATAATTGTCTTTTGTTCATTATCAGTAAGTTCAGGAGATAATGTGTCTAATACTAAATATTCTACTAAGTTTTGATATTGGTTCAAATTCATGTAGCAGAGGTTGAAGAAGAGGGATATGTCTGGATTGGTAGTCTTGAGAGGGCATCAACATTAGAATGGATTCGTCCGAGTTTATAAATAATGGTAAAGTTGTAAGGTTGTAGCTTCATCATCCATCAATCTAAGCATCCTTTAGGTTGTGATGATTTTAACCATTTAAGAGCAGAGTGGTCGGTAACTAGAGTAAAGTGGTTTGTGCCAATGGTCCATACTATGGCAGCACATTCTAATTCTGTGGCTCCATAATTAACTTCTTCTTTCTTTAAACTTTTACTAGCATATACGATAGAGTGTTCCTTTTGGTCATCAGATATTTGGCTCAAAGTGGCTCCAAATCCTGTATAGGAAGCATAGGTTGCTAAGATGAATTCTTGTTTATAATTTGGATAGACAAGAATAGGAGCAGTGATAAGTCGTTGCTTCAATTCATTGAAGGCTTTTTGACATTGAGAGGTCCATTCATAAGGGCAGTCATTATGCAGCAATTGGTTAAGAAGATGGGCAATGGAGGAAAAGTTTTTAATAAATCTTCTATAGTATCTGGCAAGGCCTAAAAAGGATCGAATTTGAGTAGTGTTTTGAGGGGATTGAATATTTTGAATAGCAAGGGTTTTAGCTAGGTCAGGAGAGAATCCTTTGGCTTCTATAATGTGTCCTAGAAAAGGTAATCGTTTCATCCAAAAGATATACTTATTGAGATTGAGTTTCAATCCAGCTTTTCTGATTCTAGTAAATACTTCACGTAAATGTTTAATATGATCCTCAAAAGTCTGTAAGAATACATTAGTATTATTTAGGTAGACTACTACATATTTGTAAGCAATGTCTTTGTAAACTTGATTAATTAATCATTGAAAAGTTGCAGGAGCATTGCACAATCCAAACGGCATTACGTTGAACTCATAGATACCATATCTTGTGATAAAGGCAGTTTTCTCTCTGTCATCTGGTGAACTTTAACTTGCCAATATCTACTCATAAGGTCTAAAGTAGAAAAATACTTAGCTCCGGCTAAAGAATCTAGTATTTCATCAATCCTAGGTAAAGGGTATTGATCTTTTTTTGTGATAGCATTTAGTTTTCAGTAATCAATACAAAATCTTTTCTTTCTATTTTTCTTGGTAACAAGTACAATGGGAGATGTTCATGGGCTAGAGGATTCTCATATTAATTTATTGTCTAATATTCATTGTATTTCTTTATTAATAAAGGTTTGTTTGGTAAGAGGTACTATATAGGGTCTAGAACTTATAGGAGGTATATCTTTAGTAAATATCTGATGAGTTACTAGGTCCGTTTTTTCAAGTTGAGACATATCTTTTGCAAATAGGTCAGAAAATTCTATGAGTAACTGGTGAAATTGGGCTCCCTGGTCTGGGTCTAAAGGTTCTATTTTTAGTTCGATTTCAGTAGTATAAATTTCATAGACTTGTCTGTTTCTATTATTTTCTGTATCTTCAAGCAGTTTTTAATCTTGCTCAGGATAGTTTAAAAATTTTCAGTCTCTTCAACCAGGTCTTGGGAGAAGAGAGATTCATTATAGAGATTCTTTATTTGATAATAGAACTGTTCAAATTTATTAACCTTGGTCTGTAACATGGCAATAGTTTGTGCTTGCTGTTCGGAGACTTGGACTTGTTTTTGCAAATAACTAATTATTTGAGCTTGTTGTCAGATTTGCTCTTGTAGCAAATTAATTATTTTTTGTTGAGTAGGTTGTGTGAGAGGAGGTAGAGGAAGTTCTGGCTGTTGAGGATGAGTTTTATCATAGCATTCCTGGCAGCAGGCTTCATATTGTTCAAGTTCAGTTTTGAACTTAGCCATAAGACAGTCCTTACAGAGTTCTACAGTTCCTTGGAAATTCTTTTGTAAGTTTTCTATAGCTTTTCATTGGTCAAAATCTGGGTGGCTAATATCAAAAGATTCAGCTAAGATTCTTTGCAATTCTGTTTCTTCCATTTCGCTTAATTGAACTTGCGAGGCTCTCATTATAATATTAACTTCATCATAAGTATAATCTTGGTTGGAGCGATCAGTAGCGAGAGGTTCAAGAGCATGGGCGAGACATTCAGTACTTTCGCCTAATTGGATTATGGCTAATCGAAAGATACGGCTTTGGTTGAGGTTATAGATATGTTTAGCATTTCGAGTAAACTCAGTATAATGTCGAACTCTGGTTCACAGGTTAAGATTGGGGTCTCATTCTACATCACTGGCGGCTTTGTAAGCATACAAGTATTCTAAATTGCAAAACCATGAGTCTTCTCAGATGGTGTTAAGTTTATACATTCTGGATCTGATGCATTCTTCTTTGCAGAGTTTACATTGAATAAGAGTTCTCTTGCCATCCCTGTTAGTAAAGTATTCTATACTTTATAGATCGTTTATATCAAGCTCTTGGTGAAAATAAGTCCAACAAACTTTACAAACTAAAGTTTGCTCTAGCATTTTGAGGTTTTCAGGCTTTTGAGGTACTTTAAATCTGCAGCAGTGATTTACTCGGCGAGGTGAGTAATGGTATAGTTAATGGCTTTCCACTTTACTTGGGGAGCATCTACACACATATAGTTGGTTTTCCAAGATAGGGGTATTTTGAGGACAGTTCATTCCAATATGACCATATTGGTTACATTGGTAGTATTGATTTTCTAGGCAGTCCTTGTAGAAGTGGCCTGACTGGGAACAGGTCCTACATATAGATCGTTTAGGGGCTTGCTTGGAACAATACACAGCAAGGTGGCCATATCGATTGTATCAGAAATATCGATTGTTTGGGCAATCAGCAAAGAGATGAATAGTAGAGAAGCAATTTTTACATCCTTGGTTGGTGTTAGGGTAAGGTCTAGATCTGGAAATGGAAGCAACAAGTTGATTTGCTTCAATTATATAAGCTTCTCAAGGACTTAGGTATTCTTGTTCAAATTGTTGCAATTCCTTTTCATCAGTCACAGTAAGTTGAGCAGATAGTGGTTGGTTATGTTCATAAGTGGTTGGGACATGGATCTTTTTCTTGTTCCATTTGAGAGTATAGACTTTATTTTTCCAATTGTAGCTGGCTTCAACTTTTTGTGACCAGTCATTATCTAAGAGTAATGAGTAGAAGGCAACATTCATTACTTCTACGTCAAGAGGGATAGTTACACCTTCAATTTCTACTGGGAGATTTTTAATAATTCCTAAAAGTCAGATAGAATTTCTAGCGGCAGATAAGATAAGACTAATAGAGGGAGCTTTAATTTTTAGTCCTAATTCCTTGACGGTTTGATAAGAAATCATGCTGATAGTAGCACTACTATCTATTATAGCTTGGTAGGGGTTTCCTTTCAGCTTAATATTATATTTTACGGGAGTGGTTTAGGAGGGAGTTTGTGTCTTGGTTTTAGCTTCCTCAGCTAAATATCTAGCTAATGCTTCTCGAATAAATTCATTAGCTAAAAAGGTTTCAAATTGTTCAAAAGTATAGTTATTTGTGATGTCTACAATATATACATCACGCGGATAAGGAGTAGAAGAGCGACTTCTGGATCGGTTATTAGATCAATAGTCCCTATTATTCCTAGATCTATTTCTAGATTGGCTTCAGCTTCTGAAACGATCATATCTAGAATGGTTAGAGTTTCAGTCTCTGGATCTATTTCTATCATAGGAGTGGAAACGGTCATAGGATTGATTATCCCTAGAAGAGTAGTTACTGCTTCGGTCACAAGAATAATCACAGGAGTTTCTTTCTTTATCATCTTTTCTAATACGGCAATCTCTAATAAAATGTTTTTTATTACCACAATAGTAACACACTATACTATTATTACCTTGTCATGAAGAACTTTTATCTTTATTCAAATAATAAACAGAAGTAGAAGAAGGAGGAGATGCAGTTTGCTTTTCAGCAAGATTAATACTTAATTTAGCTATTTGCTCAGTTAAACGTTCAATAGCTTTGTTAGCATCATTGTTAGCATTATAATTAGAGGTCATAACTCTTTCTGTTTCTTATTTTCTAGCTTCAGTTATAGCATCATCTAAATTAGCAGATTCAGATGCTTGGACATTCACGACATATTCCGGTCGAAGTCTTTGGATAAAGATTTGAATAAGAAGGGCGGCAGGGTAAGCATTACCTGGGTTGACACTTGTTCTAAGTTGTTTAAAACGGCTAACATAGATATTAACTATGTCTGTTCCTTGTTTAATTTCAAAGAGTTGTTTTTGCCAAGTGGCTTTCTGCTTGGTGGTACTGAATTTTTCCTTGAAGAGATGAGTAAAACTTCTAATATTGACTTGGTTTGCTACTTGCCCATGTTGATCATTATGGAAATGAGTTGGAGGATGTTGTAGGCTAGTAAGCTATTCTTGGGCATTGTCCTTCATATAGGCAAAAGCTAACTCCAGTTGTCGGGCAGTGCTCCAGTAGTTGGCTCTGGCAGCACGTTCAAATTTCTCTATCCAAGTTATAGGGTCTTGAGTTCCATCATCTCAATAAAAGTCAATTTTAATAAGCGATTTTTTACCACCACATCCTAGGTTGTCAGCTAGGTTATTCAGGGCATTAGCAGCAACAGTTAAAGCCTGATCAGGATTTTGTATTTAGTTTGGTTGTACTGGCTGTTGGTTATTAATTGGTTCTGGTTTTTGGTTTGCTTCCTAATTATCAATAGATACAAGCTCAAGTTTAGCTTCAGATTTGGATTCTTGGTCAACAGTAGCTTCAGATTTGTTGTCAGACTGTTGGTTATCTCTAGGTAAAGGAGGTAAGTCAAGATGTTTGTCCCAGTTAATCTCTCGTTGCGGAGCTTCTGTTGTTAGAAGAGCAACTAATTTTGGTGCAGGGGGATTTACAACAGGAGAAGGTGGGATATTTAATGGGGTGGTAGATCAAATATCAATAGCTATATTTGCTTCAGGATAGGTTCCAGATATGACAGAGAGTTGAACTGTATTAGAAGGAGAATTATAAGAACTTATACGATTAAATATTCATCCGATTACACCAGGTTGTTGAGAAGTAAAAGGAGTTGGACTAGGTTGTCATCTGAGTAGAGGATTATCTAATGGGATTTTGGTAAACGGAGAAGAAAGGTAAAGCAATTCGAGGAGAAAATTCAATATGAGTAGTATCTTCGTTGTATAGATCTAAAGAAAGAGGATTAGGGTTGTTTAAATTTTCAGGTCCAAAAGTATATATAGATTGTACAAGAAGAGTGGCAAAGTTAGGATTTTCTTGGTAAACAAGAATAGAAGAGGGATTTCCAAAGGTGTGAGTAGTAGTTGGAGGATTCCGGGAGGATGATGCAATAGCAGGGTTTTCAATATATAGGTCAAGTGTGGTTGCTTCAAAATTGAGAGATAAAGTTGATTGAGAGTGAAGATTGAGTGTGATTCGAGAAGGACAGCAATAATCGCTTTAGAATCTAGATTTGGGTTACTATATTGGCAGCTAAAAACAATATCTCTAGCAGCTGCTCTGGCAGTGTTATATTCTCTAGCAGTAATTAGTTTAAAATGTGTATCAACAGTTTGTTGAGTATATCTAGTAGCTTTATATTCATTTCGATATATAGGCCAAAATTGACGATAGTGACGATGATAATCTACAGCAGAATAACACACTCTACAAGACAAATCTGGATATAAAGTTTGTATAACTAATACTGCAAGAGATGAAGAATGTTGTGTCTCATGGGTTTCAATTTGTTGCAGATGAATTTGGTATGCTCAGTGCATAAAGAGAAGAAAAAAAATAAATAAAATATATTTAAACCAATTTGGAATTACTTACACCTACACTTTGGCTCATAGGTAATTCGCACTTAACACTCTTGGTTAAGATTTACAGTAAGCTATAAGCTATGGGTCCTTACGCCTACACGTTTGGCTTGTGGGGTACCTGTTCCGATAGGATCTAACCTTGGGGTTGCAGTAAGCTGTAAGCTCTAGTTGCTATGAAAGCAGAGGCTTCATTAAATCTCTTCCAATTTAATAGGACTTTCCGGTTGCTACGAAAGCAGAGGCTTCAAGTGTGCCCTTCTGTTAAATCTTTTTTAATTTAACAGGACTTCCAAGTACACTATTACTCCTTTAGTAATAGGCATCTGTAAATAAAGAATCCGTAGAGAGAGAAGAAAGAGGAGAGATTTTGGTATCCGGTAGAGACTTTTTAGCTTTCTGCCAGAAGGCACCAAAATGTTACAAGTGAACTATAGCCTTCTTTAAAACATAGTACTTGCTACACAGTACATGGCAACAGGGATCTATGTAGAGTCAGAATAGATATGAAGCGGTGTGGAAGTGGAATATTACTTCACTAAGGCGATTCGGTATAGTTTCGGTAAGAGCAAGATATATGTTTATTAAGATATATTTATTTACAGTACAATATCAAGATAATAGGCTATTCTAAAGTTTCTATGCCTAAGAATCCTTTTAACTTAAAGATTGTAGAGAACAAATCCTAAAGTGCTAGGAAGGGGAAAAAGCTAGGGTTTATATAGCTTTTA